GATATATATATATATATATATATATATATATATATATATATATATAAATGTACAATTACGAAAAGGAAGAAGAGTTATAAATTCTTTAGGGATATTAGATAAAAGAGGATCATATCTCAAAAAGACGTTCGCTCGAACTAAGAGGGTAAACGCGCTTTTCTATCGACTTTGGAAAAAGATTTTTGCGCGAGTATTACGTTACAGCGAAATTTGATGAAGTAACTCAGAGACTTTGCCTAATAGCGTCAATAAAATAAGAATGCTAATTGCTCGCAAGGAGCGAACGTAAAATCGAGTGGAAGGAGCATTAAACGTGCGCGCAATCGAGTGAAAGTTTTTGAAAGAAAACAAAACAATCGAGGGATGTTGAAAAGGAAGAGAAGCAAGGGAGATTTAATCTCGATTACGTGTATCAATTATCCGTATCATTACCTTTCGATTGATCGAACGATCGATACCGTTGAAACAAGAATTAAAAATAAGATCGATTTCGTCTTGTAACCGTTGATATATTTGAACGGTGTATGAACGACCTGTAGCATTAGAAAACCAGTCGTGCTACATACCTTCGTAGTTTTCGACATTTTTGTCGGTGCCGTATGCACGTGAGACGATTTTAATCTCTTAAACCGTAAATAGTCCTAATTAAAAAACGTGCGGACATATTGGAAACGAGTGTGTTCGTGGAAATGATTGTAAACGTTGTGACAAAACTGCGATAAAAAATTGGATTTTCAGAATTTGGAAGGAAAGATTGAGTGAAATGTATAAAAAAGCTGTAGTTTAAAAAAAAAAAAAAAAGGTTTCTTAACTCTTAGTATTCGAAAATCTGAAAGTAGGAAAATTGAAAGCAAAAAATTATATTATCGGACAAAGAGTGAAGAAAGTAAGTGAAACTAATTTTTCCTAATGCAAATGTAAAAAAGATAAAATCATTATTATCCAACGGACGATAAAGAATAATAATAATTGTTACGTATTAAAAAATGATTTATATTAAATAAGGAAAAATATTTAAAATATGATAACGGTGACGTAGATTCAATTAGTGAGAAATAGTGGTCAAGTTAAAAATTAGTGGTGGGGGTGTCTTGGTATAACTTCAAAGACAACAACGATGACGACGCAGACCAGGAGGAAGGCTTGCTTTCCATTCGGATTCTGTGATTACTTCTTCTGCACGGCAGTCCTTTCTCGGTCGTCTCTTTAGTCGGTGGTCTCATGCAAATAAATTGTCCGTTCTTTAGTCGATACACGTTGTCTTGTCGTGGTCGTGCCAGGGGTCATTTATGTTTACCAAATATTGGTTATTACGAATAATATAAATATCTGTGTTCGCCTTCCATTCGATCTCCACCTTGATACAACGTTCTGTATATCTCGCGAAATTCATTCGGTTGCCGTCAATTTCTCTGTCAACAGTGAATTTGAAAAATTAAGTGAAAAATCTTGAATCCATTTTACAACGACATGGAATATACAAAGATTTCTCTCTCGTGCTTATTTTTATTATTACTATTCACCACGCTTTGCGCGTCGATCGAAGTAAGTTCAAGAGATGTGATAACGATGAGGGAAACATTGCCAGTGTACGCGATCACGGAATACATCGATTCTCTGAATTCGAGCAGATGCCGGAGTGAAATGGAGCAATTTCGCAAAGCGATAGATCACAATGTGCTGTGGGGTTTAAGAAGTTAGTAGATATTTTTAAATAAATATATATTAAAAAAAATTTCGAACGAAGTTAATCGTGGTAGTTATTCGTGGAGCACAAAAAGAAGGGAGCGAGAACTGATCTCCCTGACCGGTTGTGAATCCAAATTTGTGCATACCTTACGTGGGACCAACATAACCATCGTGCATTTGCGGTGTTGTGTTTCGTAATGCAATCGTTAATACAAACGTTTACATTCATATCCGCGGAAAATTCGATATAATAAATTTAAAACAGAAGAAATTGCACTCTTGTGCAATCGCGAATTCTCCTTGAAACGAGTATACATTATGTATCACGATTGTGTTACGATGTTTGATTTTTCATTATGGCAACCCTCAAATCCGAGACTTTTTCTTTTCTTGTTGCACAAGAAACTTGTTTTCTTCGCTCTTCCTCGATCCTCTGCAAATTTCGGACACGATCGAATCGAGGTTTATTTATTTTTATATCGATCTTTTAAACATCGTATCTACTGTTTTTTCAAGTGTTGGATGCCAGCGGAGTGCCACCCTGGGGATTCACAAACGGGAATAATTTCTGGCTGGGTGGCAAAAGTGATTGCAATTACCTATCCAACAATTACACGCTCTCCCTGTCGCAAAAAATTCAAAAGAACAATTCGTTGTATCGAAATTCCAACGAGGAACATCCACCGTACGAGCTTCATTTTTTTGCCGCCCGTATGAGACACAACAGTACTGTACAATATCACATAGAATTAGCGAAGGAAGTAAGCACGAGGAATTTACGTCTAATAAAATCTTGTATCTATTGAAAAATTTGAAATGTGTGATGAGAAATCAGAAAGAAGAAAATCGATTTAAAATAAAAAAAAAAAAAAAAAAAAAAAAAATGAAAATAACTGATAATTGAAAAAAATAATACGATTAACGTGTTTAAATGATCGTGAGAAAAGAAATTTAAGAGATTATGCATTTTTTAGGACATAGTGACACTTGGACTTTGCTTACCGGCATCCTGTACTAAAACTGACATAGCCACGATGATGGATAAGGTATTACGTAATGAAACTCTCTTGATTGGACACCTCTTTTCCATAGGTTTAACACTGGTCGAAATCACTGATCTCAGAAACGATCATGAATGGCTTCTTGAATGGAATATAATATTCATCATGTATGTAAATTAGCGTAATAAATTTTTCAAAATTTGAAAATTATCGTAGATAATGATTTACAAATTTGATTGATTTATTAGATCAGGGGGGGGGGGAGGGGAATGCATGAATAGAAATAAATATTATCATTCTATTTTTATTTTCCTTGAATGGCACAAGAATTTTGCAAATCAATTTTTTTCCGATAACATAATAATTTTCGATGCTTATTAAATTTCATTTAAATGGAAAATAAATATTCACATCGAATTAGAATGTACATAATAAATAACATTTGTCAATAATTTAGACGTCAAACGAAATATTTTATATGTTAAATATTTACTAATTAAACGAGATAGTATTTTTAAATAATATTTATTTAATGGGAAGTTTTGAAAAGATTATGTAATGTTTGTTTATAATTTCAGTTCTCCGGTATTTGTTTTAATTTATATATTTTTTCAAATTTTTCCCATTTCATTGTTAATTATTGACTCAAATCACTGATATATTTGATATATATTTGATTGCAGAATCGTATTGTTTCTGATATGTTGTACATCAATATTTTGCACAGCATACGATGCTCTCGTCTATCAAAAAGGTTTAAAAAACAAGAAAGAGTTAATTTCCTTTGAGAATAACAATGTATCCGGTAAGTTAACAATCTTACGATATATTGACACTATCAAACACATTTAATACGCGTTACGTAAAATGTAACGTGTATCTTATGAAATATTAATATGTTTCAATTAACCATAAATATTATTTCGCCAGAGAAAAGGTAAGAAAGTAAAATAAAAGCATTATATCGTTATATATGTTTTACAAAAGTTCTCGATCATCAAGATAATTAATTATCTTAGAATTAAATTTCATTAGATTTCATTATTAACTATTCAAATGTAATTATTATTCAATTTTTTTCAACAATAAAACATGCTATTACATATGAAAATGATAAATTATATAAATTTTCATAATTTTCTTTTTCGTAAACAATTTTTCAAACATATCTCTCTTTTTATTTTTATTAGAGAAACATGCTACTTTTCATTTAAAATCAGTTAGAGTTTATTAATATTGGGAAAAAATGATGATATACTTTATTTCAAATTCAAAATTGTATAGATATATTCTTTTTCGTGAGACAAATGAATGGTCATTTTTTTGTAACAGGCACGAATAAATGAATCTTTTTACATGATTAATATGTTAATATATTCGTGAAATCTTTGGAGAATCGATTTTAAAAACCAAAAATTGATACACAAAAATATCAATTCCAAATTTATTAACTTTATTTATAAACAATTGAAGATTGCGTTAAATGAAACGAGATCGAAATAGAGAGATAGCTATGTATAACGCGTTTATAATAATTTTTAACAAATAAACGATATTTTGTGTTTATTTCGATCTTTAGATTCGAATTTTTATCCCGTGAATATATTAATATTTTATATAATCCTTTGAATATCTTTTAATAGTCAATGATAAATTATTTAATTACATATGATAAAATGTTCGAATAGAATTGAAAAACGATGAAGAAAAAGGCGAAAATCATTGTCATGAATTGGTAACGACCGAGTTGAAACCGCAGAGTAAAATAGTACAATTTATTCTCTGTTTCTCGTGGTTTACAACTCTTAAGCAAATATTTCAAATGGAAGTCGGTTATGAAGATATGCGTTTATTTCACGGTATGAAATTTTTTGGAATGGTATGGATCATACTGGTGCATGCGCTTTATTACGCGCATCATGCTATAGGTGAGACATCATTAATTACAGACAAATTTTGATCGTTTCACTACTTCATTTATTCGTTTTTAATTCGATTTCTTATGTACAAAATTTTTAAAATATATAGCTAATAAAATAATCGCATTTCGGATGACTGACGAATTCTTCACGCAAATATTAAGCAATGCGACACTTTCGGTGGATACCTTTTTCTTTACCGGTGGCTTTCTATTGACGTACACATATTTAAAGTCACAAGGAAACAAAAAGAAAACGTTCGGTGAATCCGTGACGCAAATTATACAAGGGGTCATTAAACGATACATTAGGTATTGTATAATATTTATATGCATTTAGAATTTCGACTAAATTTCAATGAGAATAAGAGATTTTTAAATCGATTTCATTTCAAGACTTACACCCGGATATCTCGTCGTGGTTATGATTTTAATATTAAATTTTACTTGGTTGGAAAAAGTTTCGTTGATTCCGTCCAGCGAAAAAATACACGTTACATGTACAAAATATTGGTGGAGGAACATACTTTATATCAACAACTTCTTTTCATGGAATGAACAAGTACGAGTTTTATTAAATATTTTATTTTTATTCTATTACGTATTTCAATGTGAACAATATTTAAAAAAAGATTCGTTTAATAATAAATTTCAGTGTCTCAGTTGGAGTTGGTATATGCCCAATGATATGCATTTCTTTATTTTTGGTTCAATTATTTTAACATTAATGAAAACGTAAGTTTATAAAATAATTTTTAATCATTTATCATTTCATTTTATTCAATTATTAATTGATTATTAATTGATTATTAATCATCAATAAATTTCAGACATTACAATATCGCATTGAGCTTAGGTGCTATTACAATGGTTTTATCGGTATTTACATCCGGTTATCTGACTTACACTTATAATTATATACCTGCGTAAGCATATATAAAATATTTGATATTATCATAATATATATTTAATTTTTAAAAAAGNTAAATATATATATATATATATATATATATATATATATATGTATGTATATATATTATTTATTGATATTATTTTCTTATATTATTTTCTTAGATGAACGAACAATATGAAATGTTAACATATTTTTATTTACGTCCGTGGACAAGAGTTCCACCATATTTGATAGGAATGGGTACATGTCTGCTTCTTACAAAGTGGAATTATAAATTACATTATCAAAGGTATATATATATATATAATCTTTATTAATTATACACTTTATTCGTTATCTATATTTTTTAATCTTTATAAGATCGAGATAAATGTAAGAGATATATACAAGATGATTTTATAAATGTCTTTTAATAGATATTTAATAAATATATATAGAAGAATGTCTTTAATAGATATATAAAATGACTTTATAAATGTTTTTTAATAGACATATAAGAAAAATTTTCATTGAAAAATAGCTTTTATATGATATCTATATGAGTCTATACTCATGTATCACTTATAATTAAATTGAAATCTTAATATAAAAACAGTAATCGAATTGAATCGAATCATTTTTATGATGATGATAATTAATCGAATTAATCGTCAATAAAAAGCAAATGAAAATTGAATTTTATAGATTGATTATAGATTAGTTTATTAAGTGGAAATTTTATTATATTTAACAAATGTTGCAATTTTTTATATTTATAAAAAGTTTTAAAGTATAGATTTTACATTATTGTGTATTGCAATTACAACAATATCCAATCAAATTTTTAATTCAACGTTTTTTAAAAGTTTAAATAAAATATGCATCATAATCATAATTTGTTTCAGAAAACATTATTCGTTTGTTGGATTTTAGCAATTTTGTGCAATTGTTCAATTTTATTCGGTCTTACAAACAAAAATTTATCTCTCGGTGTATCTATTCTTTATACGGCTTTAAGCAGAACAGCCTGGGCCTTTGGTGTAGCTTGGTTTGTAATTGCATGCTGCACGAATAATTGTGGTAAATAACTTTTTCTTTTTAAAATATTGTATTGTAATTAATTTTAATTTCTTATATTCAATTTAATTAATTAATTTTTTTTTATGTTTACAGATTTGATAAGTAAATTTTTATCCAGTAAAGTATTCTTCCCTATGAGCAGATTAACTTATAGTTGTTATCTGCTAAATCCTGCAATTGTACTTTCATTATATTCGATTTCGTCCTATCCCTTTTACGTTGATTACGTCACAATTGTAAGAACAATAAAATTAATTTTATTAAATAATATCAAAGTAATATAAAGTAATATAATGAAAATAATGTTTAATTATTTTTTCAGAGTGGTATATTCCTAGTAGCACTATTATTTACTTACAGTGCTGCTATAATATTAAGTGCATCAACAGAAGCGCCGTTTATACTGCTCCTTCGTTTAATCTTACAATCGAAAAAAAAAGAAACAAAATGAATATATAAAGATACACATTCCTATAAAAGTTTTAATTGATAAATCTGAAAAAAATCATTCGTATAGAACGTTTAGAGATGTTTAATAATGTTTAATATTGGGAAGAAGGATCAATCTGAAGAATCATTTGCGCAAAAATTATAAACGTTTTCTTTTTATCAACGAGTATTTTGTACATAGCGAGCAAAAAAAAAATCATATACAAATAATTATAGATCGCTGAAAGATAAAAAACAATTTTTTTCGTGTTATGAGTGAACCGGGGAATGTATCCTAGGTGGTGCCGGCGATGTCATTGACCGATTTGCTCGACTAGCCTGTTCACGACGACCTTCTTCCAATTGTTTTTCAAGTTGTTCTTTTAAAACTAATAATTCTCTCGTTCGTTGATAAACAGGATCCTTTAAAAACACGAAATATGCACGAAACATGAAACATGAATGATTTAATTTAATTTATTAATAATTTTATGTGCAGAAATTAAAGAGATAAAATATTTTATATACCTGCTGTCGCATACTCGGATTCCATCTACAATATAAACTTTTCCACGGTTTAATGTATCTCATACTAGCGATAGGCATCAAAACAAGCTGATAATTGGGAGCAGCCCAGTATAAAGGATTTTGATATAATGATAACTGACTGTTCGTATATGACCATAACGAAACAGTTTTTTGTTTTACTTGTTCCTGAACTCTTTCTCGTTCACTGTAAGCGTATTATAAGCTATATTTTTAATAGTTTTACAACGATCGATGCAAAATATTTAATATACCTGCTAAATAAAAATGTGCCAAATCTACAAGAATATAAGTGATCAAGGATAGTGATTAAAAAATGTTCATTAAACTCAAATGCATTAGGAAATTGACGACTTATTTGCCACACGCAATCCATAAATTGTAAAAATACTGGAGATCTATCTGCATCACTATGATGTTCGTCACCATGACCGATTCTCTAAAATACATTATTAGAATTATAGCATTTTCAAATTAACATTGGAGAGAAAATATTTAATTAGATCAAATATTGCAAACCTGTTGAAATTTGTGACCAAAACTGAGCCATTCTTTTTCTATTAGCACTTCAAAACCTTTGATAGTTCTATAATATGGATCTAACATTAACATGGCAAGAGCTGTTAGCTATAAAAAATTATAAATATTAAAATTATACTACATTTAAAAAATATTTTATATTATTTCTTAATTACTTGTGCTGTCCTATCCCATCCATCCGAACAATGCACTAATACTGAAGTTTTATGATTTTCAACTTTATCTACTATTCTTAATGCTCCTGCAAGTACATATTTTATATGTTTTAACCAAACTGTAGATTCTATTCCTGATAACCATCTTGTTTCATCAATTGTTGGGAAACATAATTCTAAAAGGTAATTGATAATATTTATTTATTAATTAATAATATAAATAATAATTTTTTATTATGCAGTTTAATAAAAATATTAGTGGCATAAACTGACCTTTTAATTTTCTAAGACTCTCTCTCATTACGTGTATATTATGAATATCAAGAAATACGAGTTCTGCATTTTGATAAGCGTCTTCACTTTCATAACCGCCACCTTTAGCTTTGTTTGCAACAGCATTAGGCATTGGTCGAGCATCCATAATAAAAAGTTTATGACTTTGTGCATTAGCATCCATTATTAACTGAACATATCGCTCGTCTTCGCGACTACGTTTGCCACCAACACCTACTAACGGTTGAGCACAACGAGTTATCGTTGCTTGACTTTCTGGATGAATCCACGAGAGTACCGGAAGTCTTCCTCTACTTCGAAAAGCTGCAGATGCTTGCAAATCCTCATCAGTTGCTGCTGCAGGTACTGCCCATACGGCGGGATAACTGTCACAAATTGAATATGTGTCGTTGATTTTCGATATCTTCCACATATCATTATTTACTCCCTAAAAATAATTGTAATGCTAATATATTTTGTTTTATATTAAACATGAGAATATAACACTTTTTACCATTCGTTTTAATTCCGCTATAGGTTCGTAAACATTCCATCCATTTTCAGGAAATGTCTCAAAATATTCAAATGCGAAAAGAGGTAATTTGTGAGATAAAGGAAAAGAATACTGTTGAAGTTTTTCAAAAACATCTCGTCTGGAATGATTTTCTTGCTTATGAGCAAATCTAAGATTTCGCATATCTTTACAAAACACTTCAATGCCATAAGAATTTTCGCCTTTGCTAGATGCACCACCAACTTTTTCGATTCTACTAACAACGCCTAACGGTACTTCAACAACATAAGGCGTTTCACGATCTACACTCCGAAAATGAAGTTTATAATTTGTAATACTAAGAATCCCTCTGACTGGTCCTGAATAAGGACACACATAAGTTACTTCATGAGCAATGCCTTGTACACGTTCTCCATTTAAAAGTGGTGGACCTGTTTCTCCACTAGACAAATTCTATAAAAAAATGACTTAGTAAATAATTATGTTGATAAATAATGAAACAAATATCTGCTGTTTTAGCTATACATTAAAACAATAAATTATGTACTAAAAAAGTAAAAGTAAAAGTGAAAAAAGATTTCCTAAAAAAATACATTAAATGAATGAAATCAAAATCATATTGTTTAAAGAAAAACAAATTTTGAGAATAAGTAAATTTAACAAATGTAAAAAACTACTTCAATTCTACTATTCAATCTTCCTAATCATCTATATAAAACTCACTTTTACTTGATTGTCTTTTCTAGTTTCTAAAGCAGACACAATATTATTATCTGTTGAAGTAGAGCTTGAAGAAAAACTTTTGGAATGTGATGCTTTATCCCAACTTTCCTAAAGAAGTTTAATGCTTATATATAATTAAATATAATTATGTCTAAATCAAAAACTTAGAATTAATTATATTACCGATTCTTGTCCCATTTTAGAATTAAGGGAACTGCTCTTGCTATCTGAATTAAGGGAATCAGAACTGGCATTTTTGGAGTTATTTTGTTCAACATTTAAAAGTTCAGCACTACCCCTTTTTTCCATATTTCCAATTTAGTTTGCCCTTTTTTCACATTTGATATATTTTCATCCTTATATATAATTCTAAACACCACATCTTTAAAAGAATATGACCTTCAAAAATTAAATATTAAATTGATTATTTTAGTTATTATAATCTTTATTTATATAAACATATGAAATGATAACAAACATGTGATAAAAATAATTATTATAGTAATCAAAAAATTTGAATTATTATATATTAATAAATCTTGTATTGTTTATAAATCAAAAAATATTGTATAAATAAGAATACAAGATTCATATATTTTGTGAAATCTTTATAAATTACTTAACCTCAAAACCCTGAGATTTTATAATATATTATAATTCAAATTATTATAAATATAAATTTGAAATATATAACTATAATACTAAAAATAATACTTAAATGAAACACAAATTTTAAATACGAAATAAAATCTTATAATGATATAAACAAAGTTTCACATAATATTTACGCCACGCCCAGAAAGAATATATTATTTTTATATATTATAATACACATGAATCTTAAACTATTTAAATATAAAAAGTATTCCAACACACTGACCTTATTTAAAAAAATATTACATAAAAATATTCTAATGAACTCATTGAATCCTTTCAATGCAACTTGTATTTGACAGGCAGAGTTCATAGACATTTGACTTTATAAAGTTAAATAGAAATACTTAAGAATTAATATCATTCATTATATGACAATTTATCATTTAAGTTCATGATAATAATTCTTTATATCTGAAAAAATAATGTCAAAAATCAAAAAGTATATATGTCATTTAAAAAGTATACATTTATTTTCTGTTACAATATAAATATCAATTTCTAAAATTCTATTCATGAAAATGTACATTAAATTCTAAATTAAATTCTATTAAAACGTATATTTTTTATGTCAATTCTTATTATGCGAATATCTAAATGAAAATTAATATACTATAGATTATATTTTCAAAAATAAAATTATATTTTAATCAAAAAAATTTTGAATTCAATATTTTTCAAAAATATTGTTTATCACATATGACTTTCTTATATATTTAAAAATTATTTAAATGATTACAAATTATAAAATTAAATGGTGAAATATAATGAGATATATATATCAGGAAAAAAATATTTTATATATGCACTCTTAAACAAATCTTAAACTGTAAAAGTAATTAAGAATTAATTCTGAATAATCTTTTATTAAAACTATATTATTATTTATATTTTTCTATATTTTCAAATGTAAAATTTCTTATTATATTTTAAATATTTATATTTTTTACATTAAAAATGAAATTATATTAATATTGCGAAAAAAAATTTAAAGAGAAATGAAAATGAAAATAACATTTCGTCATCATACATCACGAGCAAATATAGATAAAGAGAATATATATACAGATAAGGTAAAAATTAGCGCCATCTAACTGCTTTAAATGAAACTAAGTATGGATAAAGAGAGAAAATAGTGAGAAAAAGACAGAGATAGGGTAAAAATTCGGAAATCAGCGCCATCTCTAGAGTGCCGCAAATGAAACACAAAAAGAAAGGATAGCAAATAATGAGAGAAGGATAGAGATAGTAAGAATTGACCGCCAGCGCCATCTCTTGAATACTAAAGGTAAATATTTCTTTAAAAATTAAAAATATCTTTCTAGAAATTCTAAGAGATGGCGCTAATACTCAATTCTTACTACTTTTGAAGAAGTATCTTTGATGTTTAAGAGATGGCGCTAGAGGTTAATTCTTAACTTTGAATTCTATAGATAAAAAGAACAGAAAGAAAGGATAGCAAATAATGAGAGAAGAATAGCGATAGTAAGAATTGACTGCCAGCGCCATCTCTTGAATACTGAAGGTAAGTATTTCTTTAAAAATTAAAAATATCTTTCTAGAAATTCTAAGAGATGGCGCTAATATTCAATTCTTACTATTTTTGAAAAAGTATCTATAATATTTAAGAGATGGCACTGAAGATTAATTCTTACTTATATGTATCCTTCTCTCATTATTTGCTATCCTTCTTTTTGTTCTTTTTATTTATAGAATTCTAAAGCTAAGAATTAACCTCTAGCGCCATCTCTTAGAATTTCTAGAAAGATATTTTTAATTTTTAAAGAAATATTTACCTTTAGTATTCAAGAGATGGCGCTGGCAGTCAATTCTTACTATCTCTATCCTTCTCTCATTATTTGCTATCCTTTCTTTTTGTGTTTCATTTGCGGCACTCTAGAGATGGCGCTGATTTCCGAATTTTTACCCTATCTCTGTCTTTTTCTCACTATTTTCTCTCTTTATCTATCTGTGCTTTGCAAAATTATGCAAATATAAAATATAAATATAAAAGCTTCATTATTTAAAATACTTTATAATTTTTTTTATAATATTATTGTACATATTTATCTTAATTTTTAAGTATTTAGAAAAAATTTTCAGCTAATTTTGCAATTATATCAAGAAAATATAATTCGAAAAAAGGTGATACATGAAATTTTTCCTAGTATTTTTAAAAATAAACATTTTTTAAATTTTATAAATTTTATAAAAATAAACATTTTTTATCTTTTATAATTATTATTCTACATGATAAAATCGGTTCTAAATCGTTTTTTTATAGTTCTCTTAATTCTACTTACCATTTATATACTTACCTTTTATATATTTTATATAATATCATTGAATATTTATTTGTTTTTGATATTATTAAAAAAATGTTTGAAATAAAAATTAAATGATTTCAAGATAAATACATTTTGATTATTAATTCATAAATACATATTTGCATTTAAATGCATTATTATATATTTTTTAATGCGTTAATTAGCTATAGTTTTGCATTTATTATAAAAATTAATAATTATATAAGTTAATTTATTAGCTTATAAGAGATAATATATATTTCTTAAATCTAATGATTTTTCATATGAATAAATCAATATTTTTTTTCTGAAATTTGAATTCTATATATCAATTATTATTATATGAAAAATAATTGGTATATAGTTAATATTGTCATATTTAATTAATTATTCAATATTTTGATAATGTTATTCCATTTTTCAATATCACATATGACATGAAAATAATAGCTATATAGCCTTTGAACATCAAATCTATTCTCTATTTATGATAATACAATTAAGAAAATCTGTAACTGTTAAATAAACTTCTTATTTTGTATTTTTTAATATTAAATTAATATTAAATTATCAATTTATCTACATATTTTATGCATTATCAATTAATCACTACTTATGAAAGTACATAAAATATATATCATTTCCATATGAAATTGTTCCCAAATCAAATTAGTATTGCAATTCAATATCTATGTATATCTATTCTTAAAAACGTTTAAACAATATTTAAATACTATTTTAAGCTAATTAAAAAATAATATCACAAATTATATAAAAATTTTAATATTTTAACATAATTTCTATGTTGTAATTTAAATGTTTTTTTGAACGATATTTTTTTTATCTAAAATAAAATTAGGAAAAAAAATTATATTAAATAAAAATTAATTTTCATAAAGATTTCAATTAAAGAAAAAACTTCAAAATTCTAGTATTAGAATAAAAATCAGTAAATCCTACATTAAAAATGGTCTATTTGCACAGAAAAAAATAAAATTTATATTTTATTGTATCAAAATTTTAATAATAATAAGTTAAAATTTATATTTGCTTAAATAATTTAAAAATTAAATTATTGCATACTAAAAGTATTATTAACAATATAATTATAAGATATTTATAATTTAATCTTATCATTCTAAGAAAAGACTAACCAAATAAGTTCTTATTTAAATTAGAAATAAGTTTTCAGTGATATATATATTTATATTGTAAATATAAGAAGATTAGATTCGTATCGTATTGTCGGGGTTTCCAGAGAATAAAATCTTGTTAATCAAATATCAAATCAAATTACACATGAACTGCATACCAATCGTTTTGATGAATCAAAAATTATATTTTACATACAAAACCTATGTATTAATCAATATGTATTATTTCAATTTTCTTCATGCTGATCAATAGATTTCTAAGTTCTCATTAAAAAATATTTTAAATCGCGTATTATTTGATTGATAAATCATGGTTTGTTTAAATGTACTTATTAAAATATATTTTGGATTTTCATAAAGAAAATACTACACTAAATATTATTATAAGTTTCTGATATCTTTTGAGTAGGTTTCATTGTGTCACGATCTATAATACATTATTTGTTGGGGAGAAATTATGAATTTATTTATAAAAAAAAATTGCTCAACGAAACAAAATATAGTAGTCAGAATTTCAACGGTGATGCAGCGATTTCGATTAAGTGTATTCCACAATATAGAGCATATTCATAACATGAAATATAAAACTCTCATTATTAACTATATATATCGTTAACTTTGAACATGGTCAACATATAAATATACAGTCATCACGTTAAGTTAAATGTATCCATACAATACATACAATGAATCTATACACAGTATAAGTAAAATCCCTACATCTTTTCTTGTTTTTTTTTCTTCTCGACAGTTTAGATACATACATAAATGCATACACACGTATATGCGAAGTATATATATCTCGGAATATGTCGCTAATACACAATTATACAAAACGCTATAGCGAAATTCGCGTTTGCGTGTGTGGTTCTTTTATATTTTTTTTTATTTTGTTTCTTTTTTCCTTATAGAAATATACATTTATCAATAGTACGTAGAGACGCTACCGATTAAAATAGAAAACGAAAATACAAGTATAAATGAAAAAAAAAATATATATATATATATATATATATACATATATATATATATAATATGTATATATAATATGTGCATTTATATTATACATATGTGTATATATATAATATAAATATATATATAAATATACAAATACACATCGAAAAAGTTTCATTTACATGAATTACAAAGAACGGAGTATTAGTCAACGGATAATCTCTCTTTTTTCTCTCTTTCGCTCTCTCTCGTATAATATTTTCCGTAGCACTTAAATTGCTTATTATACTTTGGCACTTATAGCGAAGAATTTCTTAAACTGTAATTTACATTAGAGATTTTGCTATTTTTTTGTTTCGTGCTATTATTTTGAATGGATCACATTTATCTTTTAGGCCAACAAGAAAGTATTTTGCTTTTATTTATTATTACTCAAGTTCATCGCTTGATATCTGCCAATTGCAAGAAAATGTACGGAATCTTTTTTAGAAACATGCAGAGAAATATCCGTAGTATCTTCTCCGTTTGTTGGTCAGTCTCCAGCCTCGATGGGCTCTCTCTCCTTCTTTACTGTTCATGTGAATAAATTCATCTCGACGAAGAACTCGAGAAATCCTCGTCGAGTTCTGCTCGCTGTCCTCTCTCGCTCTCTCTCTCTCTCTCTCTCTCTCTCTCTCTCTCTCTCGCTCGCTCGCTCGCTCACTCACTCTCCCTCTCTTTCTCTCAATTCGCAGAATATATCTGTGTGAGTGTGTATGGTATATATCAGTCTTATCTGGTGGTGCACGGCCAGCCCGGTCACGTCAATTGTGCGGCATTGAAGCCTCGTTTCCTCGGAGTAGTGAATTGCGGGCTGGTGATTTGGTACTGTTGTACGTACGGATTGTTCCTAAGGACATTACCACCAGGTGAACCGGTCGAATATTGCGAAGGTACCGTGATTATCCCGGTTTGTTGCAAATACTGTTCACGATAAAGCGCCTGTTGCGTCACGTATTCCCCGTTCACAGGATTCTGAGCACTGTAATGAACCTTCACGGTTTTGGCCGATGGCTGATTAGCGTTGCACTCCTTATAACTGTCTTGATAACGCAAACTGGTTGGAGAGGAGCCAGGCGGTGTGACATTTTTCAGACTTTGAGTTGGACTTTGGGTGATCGATTCTAATACGTGTCTCGGCATACTTGGCGATGGGCAGTGAGTCTCTTGGAGACCATCCACGCGATTCGCATTTCTCATGTAAATAGGTGCACTCTCCGGTCTACCACCAACTATGTTCCTTATTCCTTCCCTATCTTTTGCGCTCAGACTCTGCCGTGATGCGTTCAGTCCTGAACCGCGATTTTTCATCGCGGACGGGGATGCGTTGTTCAAATCGGAGACACTCGACCAGCTCACACTGGCTAATTCCCATTGACGTAGAAGATTGGACACTCGTTCAGCTCTTGCAGTTGTGTCGAGACTTTCATCGTAATCTGGGCCCTGAAAATATTTTAAAGATATTATTATTTTGTTATTAAGTTGTAGTAATTAGTTAAATATCTAAAAAATATCGAAAGAATAATATTATAATATTCTTCAAGTATTTAATAGTAATGAAGTTGTATAAAAAATATAAAAAAATTTCACCATATAAAAAATCAATGTTATGATGAAACGGTCAAGAACAACCGGTACGAGAGAAAGGGGGAAAAAGTGACAAAGAATGAACGTTTTCTGAAGGAACGTAAGAGCATTAAATATGGAGATGATGAAATATGGAGCAAATTCATATTTCATAGTCGATAAAAGTAACGTAATTGACCGATCGACTTACATGCATACGAATTAATATTATATTGTTACAGCGAGGCGACCACAAGGTCGATGAAGCCTTAAGGAAACATCTATTTTACATGCCCTGATTCCAATGCATTTTGCCGACGCGATAGAGAAAATAATTGCGTAATTCGAGGTTGATCTTGATCATTCTATAAGCCGAAAGCTTTGTCACATAGTGAATCTTGCATGAAAATAACAAGGCGTTACGTAAAAAGATAATGCAATTAATTTGTAAATGATAAAATGATAAATTGGAAAAAATGATTGTAGATAACACTGAGAAAAACAAGATGGAATTAAAGTTTTAACTTACATTTTCAATTTTTTCGTCGAGCATTCTGAAGAAATCAAGCTGACTGGTGGATATCTCTCTGCAAAAAATATTTATAAAATTGAGTAAAAATATTGATATTCATTTTATTATATATTTTGCTTTATATTACAAATAACAAATATGAATAAGCATATCATGCAATAAATCGAATGCAATAAATCAAATGTAATAAGAGAGTCGATAAAGTATAAATAAAATAAGATATCGAGATATAATGAAACATACGCTTGTTGCAACAGAGGACCACTTCCAGGTGTGTTCGACTTCTTCTTGGCTTGGCCCTTGATCTCGCCAGATCCATTTTGCTCTTCGTTTCGGTTCACCTCGACCCCGTTGTTATTAGTTTTGTTATTTTTCGCGTTACCATTTCCATTTTTTTGTTCTACAGATGCAGAACCTGAAACACGAAGGTTACAAAAATGTTGAAACTTGAAGGTATCTTATAATTTATATTAACATAAATACAACATTAATTAAATGGATCCTGAAACCTGATTTTTAGACTTACGAAATTTAAATGTGAAATTTGATAAAGTCTCAAAACTCTCGAAATAAAAAATATTTTGAAAAATTTAGCTTCTAAGTTCAGTTTATAATCAATAATAAAAATTATCATCTTTGTGACTAACAAAATACTTTGGTTAAATAAAAATTAATAACTTATTTATATTATTTTCGAGAGTTTCACAAAAATAAGTTCCGAATTCTCGAAACTTCTTAAGTTTCAAAGTCTTCTGAAGTTTTCAACTTTCGAATATCTTTATATCCCTACTTATTATTATAATTTATGTTTATTATTCGCATTAATGTTATCTCTTTCAACGTAAGCAAAATCCGCAGAAAAGCAACAGATTATCAACTTCAATTCTTTCCATGTAGAAAATCGTGAAAAGACAAGTATATAAAGAAACTTCTATTCCGTACGTAAGGAATTAATTAAAAGATATTCAAAAAGATATTTGAACGATACTTCTTGAACGTCGCATCTAATATTTGTCCACTCAAATAGGTGATGTCATCGATGCGTTCGGAATACCGTGAGAGAAGAAGATGAGAAAAATATTAAATGCGACACAATCGACAGCAAAATTAACTCATGAGGGCGAAACAATTGCATGGAGTGCGATTGTTCAAGGAGCTATTTTCTTCCATTATTCTAGCAAAAGAGGCGTGAAAACAGCGCGAAGCTTGGAAAAAGCATATTATCATGTACAATGGAAGAAAACAACCGATGAAAAAAAATAAAATATAATTTACGTGAAATTATCTTTCAAAGTGATGCAAAAAAAAACGCATGTGAAATACACAGATTGAGTGCAAAGGTCAAGATTAACGCTCGTAAATATTTAATCTTATCGCAAGAAGGCTTGACACTTTTAAGGGCTGACACATTCGGGCCTGAGTCGAAACGGAATATTCGATTAAAATAGATGGTCAGTTATAAATGAAATGATTGAAAAGTGGCGCACATTAACCTGGTGCATCATGACTTTCACACGAACATAGATAGATACATATATGTATAGATATTGTATGTGAAGAAGAAGACACTTGCAAAGTTGCAACCATGCTTGGACGATAAAATAGTAACAGGTTTTCTTGTCTGGCATTAGAAAGTTTAGATATAAATAGAGAACTTTACATGGTTAGGCTATCTATTTTTCATTGAAACAATTTTTTAACACAGTGACTGTCACAGTGAGAATCTTCTCCTTTCAATCTTCGAACTATATTATTAATTCTTGATTTTCTTATCTTGGTTTACTAATATGAAAATAAATTTCATATTATATTAATCCAAATATTATTGTTTTATTTCATTAAAACAATTTTTCATGATTCTACAAACTACTAACAAAAAAGAATTCGACTATAAATAATAAAACATATATTTTTACTATAATATAAATTCCTTAATTGGAATTTCTATTTAACATTTAAAACATTTGAAGATATCGATTCTACGATTAAAAAGATTTTTTTAATTATCCTAAAAATTCAAACTGATTCCGATTTTTTTTTTTCAGGGATGGCTGATTCGTTCATACATTGGCACTTTTCTCCCAAAAACCGCGAGTGAAGAGTTAAATTTGCTACTCGTTCGCACGCATCAGCGGGTCGTTAAAATTGACGCGTGGGCGTGGAACATTAATTGCAGCAGGCGCGTGGTTCGAGAGGCGACGAATGCAGTCAGCCGAGGATCCACCTACTGACCTACACACGTGCAAAAAGACCGCCACCGCTCGTTCGTGACTCCCTGCGTGTCTCTCGGGTTTATTTGCGTTTCATTGTAATCCGAGTTCATTCTCCTTTTGCTCTCTTTCGCGCCCCTGTCTCCGGTCGCCTCGCGTGCCAATGAATGGACCACAAGTGCATGCGCCGATCGGACCCGCGAGACGATCCATTTCCGCCTGGAATAATGCGATCGAAACGAACTTTGTCCAATTGATTGTCGTTGGCCGTCAATTATCGGAAATTGAATGAATACGATACGAATTTGGAAAGATGCGTGCAAAGGTACGGTTTTAGATTTAAAATTTAAGGGATGATTTTCTCTTAAAAATTGAAGTGAACATCGAGAATATACGAATTTGTTTTCTTAGGTATTAATCCCTTAAATGACAATTTCCTGTTTTGGATTAAAAAAAAATGTGGAAAATTCTGAGATATTTATTATAATATAAGAAAGATAGAAACTTGATAATAATGCAACGAAAAATTCATTGTGACGTAGATTTTCTATGATAATAAACCATAAGCTTAAGATAGATTAGAGAAATTAATAA